GGGGGGGGGGGGGGGGGGGGGGGGGGGGGGGGGGTCATTGAGTGAAGGACTATTGTAAGGTGATCTGAACTTCAAGCCAAGACTGAAAATCTACAGCACTCAATCCTGACCTCTGCCATTCACCATCCTCCAAATCAAGTAATCATACCTCTGTGTTACAAGCCAACAACAAATATCTAGTAAGACGAGTCTTCTCATTTACAATCTTAAACTTTTTATGATTGAATTACTAGGGCGCTAAAGTTTTAATCATTTTCTAATCTTTCAATTCCCAGTTTTTATACATTCAAACATTTCGTCTGACCTGCCATCTTTGCTCGAACGGCGATTTTTTGTTTTACTCTCACATTGAAACAAAACATTATTTTGTTTTGGTGAAAGTACAGATATGAAAACAAAAGACACTACAAACAATAGACTAGACTATGCATGCGATGATTAATTAAAGTCTTATTTTATTCCTCTCCCACAAAGTGCACCTGCAAGCTTAGATTAATATGGTTCACTGTTGCACGCATGTGAAGAACATTCTCTCACGTCTGATTTTATGAGGGTCAAACAAGCATGTGAGAGTTGTGGGAGAGAATGAGGATGGTCTCTAAGAATGAGAGTCATGTGAGCTTGTCTCAAATACAATGAGAGGAAGCTAAAATGTCAATTCTCAATATAAACAAACAAACAAACAAACAAACAAAAAAACCCTAATAGCAAGTAATACATTTTTCAAAGCAGTTTGTCCCAGAGTGCCAGCTATAGTAAAGACAGAAGTGAATACAGCTTTTCAATTAAGTACTTCTCAATTGAGATCTTTACAATGGTTTTTAGAAATATTTTAAATAGAGAAGTTTGTGAAAGCTAAAGTAAAAGAAAAAAATATATAAAATTATATATACTACTTGACTGAATAGAAAAAAAATAAAAAATAAAAATAAACACAATTTTGAAATAATTAAGATTTGGAAATGTTTTTGAAGTCTATAATGCTCACCAAGGCTGTAATTATTTGATCAAACCATTCTTTTAAATTGTAATAATTTCACAATATTGCTGTTTTACCATAAATGCAGCCTTGGTGACTTCTTTCAGGAACATAAAAAATAATTTTTTTAACTGGAAGTGTATGCATGTATAATTTATTACATAAAATAGTAGTAGTAGTAGTAGTAGTAGTAGCAGTATAAATAATATGTCCTGCTCTCAAATGAGTAATAATATGAAAATGTGAAAACAGAGTGTATCATTTTAAACTTGTGAATTCTTGACTTTGACTGGTAATGTAATCATCTAAAAATTCTACCAATACAACTGCAACAACCCAGAATGACCTAGCAACCTCATAGTGACACACTAAAACGACTGGATAGCAATGCCACGCACCCAAAACACCCTACAGCACATGTATAATTCTACTTCTAATCAAACTGTATTGTAAATTGCCATGCAGAATGGGCAGTTTACATTACGCCTCAATTCTGACTCGGAGTGAATGGACAGATCGCGCGTGTGGTAATTTGGAAGCTTTCGAGAAGAGGTTTCTCTGGTGTGAAATGCATCAATACACCTACACAGAAAACTGCTGGAAAGACTGACTCAACTGCCACGGCTTTCATAAGCCTTCACAATACATCTCAAATGAAGAAAAAAATGCTTACATACAAACGGCCACTGCAGCTTGTTTTAAGGGCAAAATGACATTGTTTCATCTCGAAATGTTCCAAGCCTACATCAAATTAAATGTACTTTTAGGAAAGGACAGCCCACAAGGACCTGCGTTCATGCATGGCATAACTGTCCGAGTCATTTATTTTATTTTTATCCTTGAGTTTAAGCTGAGATGATTTGAAGTATCTGGGGTTAATCACCTCCCTCTGGGGCGACCGAAGCTCTGTAAGCCTCTCACCCACCAATCCCTGGAGACGTGACCCGGTCACTCGGGCGGTTGTGTCAGAACACAACATGCTGGACATCCTCCACTGTAACATACACACTCTGCATAGTTTCCACTGCCCCGTCCCCTTCACACACGCTCTCACACTTCATTCACATGCTAAAGGGATACAGGAACTCTTCCGGACACTCACGCTCCTGTGCCTTTCTCTCAAAAGGACTTCTACAGGAAGCTAGCGGATGATGGTTGGTATTGCGGGATCAGAGCGTTATCTGCATTCTCACATTCCTTAAGATTTTCAGCATATGTGTAATGGTTTGCAAATGCCACTGACGTATTGAACACTTGCTGGTAAATATTCTCAGTGAGCTATGGGTCATTCTCTGAAACAGGTGCCTTGTCTAGTTTGAGAACATACATTTTGCACAGTTGTAAACAGTCTTTCAGACAAAGAAAGTGAGTAATAATAAATTGCATAATGCCATATTAAGATAAATTAAATATTTGTATGCATGTTGTAATAATGCCTTCAAAAACGGTAACGAGGTTAACAAGTTTAGTTAAATGTGACATTACAAGTACCACAAGGTACTATTTTATCAAATACGCCGTTTTCATTTGTCATACCACATAAAATCATGAAATCCTCAAAGCATGAAGACAGAACTTTGAGTCTTTCAAATTAAGATAAATAGAATGACAGAAAGAAGTCTAGCTAGAAGGATAGAATGAAAAAACGATAGAATGACAGACAGAATGACAGATAGGGACGATAGATAGAATGACAGATTGAATGATACAACGATAGACAGAACGACAGACAGACATTCATTTTCTAGCCATTCCTCTTTCTCTTACAACAGATGTTCTCTACAGCAGTTTATTCCCATGCGGCTCCATATCCTGTTCCCTCAGAAGGGAAGCCCAGGCTCACTAAAAAACATTTAATGAGCTCCTGTGCGTGAGTCATATGTCAGTAGTTTCATTCAAAATAAACAGGAGTACAAGGCTCACCTGGAGGTCAAGGTTATTTCATAACTTGGTCTTTTTGAATATCAAAGCAAGCTCTGCAAGTTTTCAAAAGCTTGTCAAAAACAATCCAACTTCATGCAACTTAAAACTGTGGTTAATATGACATTAGACACATTGCATGGAGACATACAATGCGTCTAATGCCAAAAAACAAAGCCTTACACCAGTGCCAAGTGCTTCAAGAGTCACTACAGTTTCTCACACTCGTTCAAGAATCTAAAAATAGAGACAGAGCAGAACAGGTTCTCACTTCTGCTGTAGGTCGTGAAGGCTCTGCTCTGACCGGTGGAGGCTCTCCAAGTCTTTCATCATCTTCTTCATGTGGTCTTTAGAGTGCCGGTTCTGGATGTAAGCGAACCAGCAGCCTCCCATTCCGATGACTATTGACACCACCAGCATGAAGTCCTTCAGATGGTTATGTCTGTTCACTGCGAGAGACAGAAACCAGCATATACTTTAAACAAGTAGTCATTTAGCAAACCCAGGAACAGGGAGCAACCTGGGGTTAAGTGCTGTGCTTAAGGACACAAATTAACTCATAATATGCAACATTTCTAATAAGACACTTCCAGTAAAATGACTTTTCTTTACATTAGTCTTTACTCTAGTACAGGGGTTCCCAATCCCAGTCCTTGTGCTTAGATTGAACAATTTTTGAACTGATACGTCTTAGTACTGAATGAAATAAAGACAAATAGACAAAAAAAAAGACAATAGCTTTCACATCAGGAGTGCGTCTATGATGCTTTAATATGCTGCATATGTAGGCAGCTCAAAAGGTTTTGGAACAGATCCCATGACCTGTTTAAGAGTGCAAAGCTGAGGTGTAGGTGTAGGTTGTAGTAGTAGAAGTCAATCTGCATTCTGAACAAAACCTAAATTCAGTTTGCAAATTGATACACGCAAAACATTGGCTTTCTCTGCAAGCTGTTCAAATGCTTCCCACAAAAGCTGTTTAATGCAATTTTCTTGCAAATATTGTGCTGGCACACAGTGTAGCTGCAGCGCTTTCATCTCGTAAAGGTTAAAGCGTTCATTTACATTTACTGTAGGGATACATGGGCTTCTGCAGTTACAGTCCTGCAATACTTACCACTGCTGTGCCATTGGGCAAGACAGTTAACCTAACAACAGCCCCAGGGATAGCACACAGTCCTGACCCTGGATGACTCAATAACACTCTTCTCAACTCCTCATCCTCTAGGAAGCACGACCGGTTGTCTAGCACGAAAAATTGTTGGTCTGCATCAGCTTGATAGCTTTAATTACCAAAACCTAACATACTAAAATACTATTTGCAGAGCTTTTGCCTTTGATTATAAGGGTATAAACTACTGGCCAAAGGATTTTTACTGTTTTTGAAAGAAGACTCACCAAGGCTGCATATGTTTAATCAAAAATACAGTAAAATCAGTAATATTGTGAAACATTACAATTTAAAATAACTGCTTTCCATTTTAATATATTTTGAAATGTAATTTATTTCTGTAATGCAAAGCTGAATATTCAGCATCATTAATCCAGTCTTCAGTGTCACATGATCCTTCAGAAATCATTCTAATATGCTGATTTGCTGCTCAAGAAACATTTCTTATTTTCAATGTTGAATACAGTTGTGCTGCTTAATATTGTTGTTGAAACCTTGATACACTACCATTCAAAAGTTAAGATTAAAAAAAGGGAATACTTGTATTTAGCAAGGCTGCATTAAACTCATCCAAAAATGACAAAGTTCTTCAAAACTGACAGCATAAGGTTATAAAAGACTGCCATTTTAAATCAATGCTGTTCTTTTGAACTTTCTATTCTGATAATAACCGAGCAGCAAATCAGCATATTAGAATCATTTCTGAAGGGTCATGTGACACTGAAGACTGGAGTAATAATGCTGAAAATTCAGTTTTGTATCACAGGAATAAATTACATTTTATTAAAACATATTCAATATTACTGTTTTTACTGTATTCCTGCTTTAAAAAAAGTGCAGTTTTTGGTAAGCATAAGAGACTTCTTTCAAAAACATAAAAAAAGACCAGTAGTGTACAGTAACAGGAAATGCAAAGGAAGGCCAAGCTTAAACCTGCATGACCCACATGAGAACCACAGCTCAATGAATCTGGAACATCTGCACTAACAGCTGCAGCACCATGGCTCTAACATTAAAAACTAATCTCACAAGCAGAAGGCTGTGATGGGACACTCTCTGGGGACAAAATATACAAATGCTGTTGTTAAACGTTGAGGTGTAGGCTTTTAAAACCTGTCAACTGTGTCAGCGAATTAACAAAAAACGAGGGGTATAGGGCATCGTGTTTCTGATGGCGGTATTGTCCCGAGTTACCAGGGCAGCTGGAATCAGTGCCTGGAGATCAGTAGGGTGGTGCTGAGCCGTCAAATGCAGGCTGCACCATCTCCCTGGTTTCCTGGAGCCGGACCTCTTCAGGGTCAACTTTCACAATGAGATCTGCCACATACAGACCCTGTCTGTGACTCTCTGTTCAGACCTCTGAGAGGATAGTCTTGTTTTCTAAATGGAACCACAGTTGGGAATGTCAAATGCAAATGCTTAAAAAATTAAGGCTGCTGGATCTGAAGGGGCGAGGATTGCAGACTTTTGTAGCATTTTGGTTTTCTAGTTAAGGTTAGTACAACAAAAACTTAACCAATTTTCCATCCTCTATCTAATAGAGAGACAAAAGTCTTTAATAAAACTTGGCGAGACCAAAAAAAAAAAAAAAAAAAAGTTAGATGTGCTGCAATGGTCAATTCACATCAATCTGTTAAAAATATACAGTACTGTTCAAAGGTTTGGGGTTGGGTACGATTTATTTAATGTTTCTGAAAGAAATCTCTTTCGTTCAGTAACACTGAAATAATTATAATTTAAATGAATGGTTTTCTATTTTAATATATTTTAAAATGTAATTAATTTCTGTTATGGCAAAGCTGAATTTTAAGTAGTCATTACTTCAGTCTTCAGTGTCCTATGATCTTTCAGAAATCCTTCTAATATACTGATTTCAATGTTATCATTAATGTCGAAATCAGTTGTGCTGCTTAATATTTTTTGGAAACAATGATACACGTTTTTAAGATTCTTTCAAAAGTTCAAAAGAATAGCATTTACTTCAAAAAATACTATTTAACCTTATAAACCTTTATATAATCTTCATTGTCACTTTCAGTTAAATTAAGGCATCCTTGCTGAATAAAAGTGTTAATTTCTTTCATAAAAAAAACTGACCCCAACATTAAACGATAGTGTATATAATCCAACAATTAAAATATTTCTGTAAAAGAAACATGAGCACTCAAAATAACCAAATGCACATTTCTTGTTAACTCTGACAATTTCTGCCATTATTGCTGGGCATATTGATATTGAAATTCTTATTTTCATAGTGTGGCTGATAAATGGCCAATATTAAAATGTATACAATTTTGTCTATTAAATAAAAATAAAAAAAATTGAATAAATTTAATATTATAATGCACAGTACGAAAAAAAACATTTGCAATTTAAAAATATCAGTTTAAAGATACATTTTGAGTGTTACATTAATCTAAATGTAAAATAAAAAAAAAACTATTTAAATTTAAAAATTAATATCAACCAATAAAGACACAATCATGCATCTGTAGTTATTGCAGATAATTATTTTTTTCCCCCTGAATTTAATAGCTTCGCACTGCGAGTTTTGTTGTAGAGTATGTCTACATAGTACAAGAAAAAAAATCATTTTAAAAGCACAACATAGCTCTGTTATTCAAAAAATAAAATACATAAATAAATATATATATGTATACATAATAAAACAGAAGACCTGCACTAGAACTGTTCACAACACCTCTGACAGGATGACCCAGCTGTTTTGGACCAATTCGCTGTTATGGAGCTATAAATTCAAAATAAATATTTATAAACAAATGGCAATAACAGAAGGGAAGACATGCCACGTGGCTAATAAAAACAAGTGCTTTGGCCAGACCTGGAACAGCATTCTAAGCATTAATAAAATGTCAAACACTCATTCTAGCACTAAAACAACTTTGTTCTTGCTCATAACAAAAGGTATGTGTAGCGCATGGTTATGTCAGCCCCGGTGTATTCTGGGGTGTGGCGTATATCAAATCACATCGCAGGGTTACTGTCTAATCTGTGACGTGCAATTCGAGCTGATGGATGGTCAGCAAACAGAAAGAGTGCATAGCGCATGGTACAGACTGATCCTGTTTCCAGGTCAAGGCAGATTCTTTAGATAACACTCCCAGGAATGTAACAGACTGTGTAAGAATGTGCTCCTGGGAACAAGCTTTTTTGTAAACACATAAGGCATTGATTAAACAAAAGAAAGGGAATGGATCAAATACGGTCTCTCTTTGATAAATACCTGTAAACCTGTCGAACCAGTACACCAGCATTCTGGAAGGTTAGACACGATGGGCTGCATCCGTTTCAGTGCGCCAAAGACGTGTGCTCAGAATACAGAGTGATCGTCTACACCCTCCCTATCCAACCCCTCAAGCCTTCCCCATCGGCCTACAGCAGATGACTACGAGCCTCACAAGACCTGTATATGCTGGCTAATTGGTCTCAGAGAACATTTAAAGAGGAAAAATGGACCACCGTAGAAAAATAAATGGAAGAAAATTGCATTGATCAATATGGTAGAATATGACAATGGGTTCTGGAATTTTTGGTCTAGGACCACCTTAAAAGTGCTATTGTTAGCCTGTTTTAGGTCTATATAATGCACTACTGTTCAAAAGTTTGGGGTTAGTTTCATTTTATTTTTTTAAAGAAATCAACGGTGTTATTGAGCATTAAATTGACCAACAGTTCAGACATTCTAAAAATATATTTAAAATAAATGCTGTTCTTTTCAGCTTTCTAATTACCAAAGAATCCTGAAGAAATATTATTTCCACAAAAATATTAAGCAGCACAACTGTTTTCAACACTGCGAATAAAAAGGATTGTTTCTTGAGCAACAAATTAGCATATTAGAATGATTTCTGAAGAATCATGTGATACTGAAAACTGGAGTAATGATGCTGAAAATTCACTACAGGAATGAATTACATTTTTAAATATATTTCATTATTTTAAATAGTAATAGTTTTTCACAATATTACTGTTTTTCAAATAAATGCAGGCTTGTTGAGACTTCTTTTATAAACATTAAAAAAATACTTACCAATGTCAAACTTTTGAACAGTGTAGCTACTCACACTAGCTATGTTTCCATCCACATATTTTTATGCGCATTTTGGATTATCGCATAAAAAAAACGCTGGATGGAAACGAAATTACATTTTTAAATATATTTCATTATTTTAAATAGTAATAGTTTTTCACAATATTACTGTTTTTCAAATAAATGCAGGCTTGTTGAGACTTCTTTTATAAACATTAAAAAAAATACTTACCAATGTCAAACTTTTGAACAGTGTAGCTACTCACACTAGCTATGTTTCTATCCACATATTTTTATGCGCATTTTGGATTATCGCATAAAAAAAACGCTGGATGGAAACGCCAAGATGCGCATAAATTCTAAAAATGTGCATAAAAAACATATGCGCACAACTGAGTAGGATCACCTTTTTATCCGATAAGAAAAAATGCACAGAAACTACGATGGAAACACATTTACTGCATAAATTCCACCATGCGCATTGAAAAAGTCATGTGACTTTGCGTTATGAGACGGGATAAATTGACTAACCAGCGGACCGATTTCATTCACAGCATCTAGATGTTGTTTTGGTCATTCTGAAATGCCTGAGGAAAGTCTGTCAAAGTATTTCCGTATAATTACTGTCTTACATGACTGCATTCCCAAACAGCAGGCATCCACCTCTAAAAGCAATGACCGCATTTATTGTGTTACGTCTGCTCTCTCTGAAGCGCAAGCAATTTATTACATATGAAAATTATTATATTCAGTGGATTCTCCTAGTTTTCTTAGAGATATTTAGTGCCAGTTTATCAGGAAGTGACGATTTTGTTCTCTTTGACTCGTTGGATGGAAACGGTGCTTTATTCGCAAATGTTTAATGCGATATTCCAATTTTGCGCATAAGTTCAATTCGCATCTTTGGATAGAAACATAGCTACTGACTCATTAAAAACCAAAACTATTTGGCCTTCCTGCATACAAAGGCTTTAAAGGAACACGCCACTATTTTTGAAAATAGGCTCAATTTTCCAACTCCACTAGAGTTAAACAGTTGAGTTTTACCGTTTTCGAATCCATTCAGCCAATCTCCGGGTCTGGCGGTAGCACGTTTAATTGCAGCTTAGCATAGATCATAAAATCTGATTAGACCATTAGCATCTTGCTCAAAAATGACTAAAGAGTTTCTATATTTTTCCTATTTAAAACTCGACTCTTCTGTAGTTACATCGTGTACTAAGACCGACGGAAAATGAAAAGTTGCGATTTTCTAGGCTGATATGGCTAGGAACTATACTCTCATTCCGGCGTAATAATCAAGGAACTTTGCTGCCATATCATGCGTGCAGCAGGCGCAATGATATTACGCAGCGCCTGAAAATAGGCTTATTGGAAGTTACCTAGCTGGGACTATTTTCAGCTAAAAGTGCTACCCGGAGATCGGCTGAATGGATTTGAAAACGGTAAAACTCAACTGTTTAACTCTAGGGGAGTTGGAAAATGAGCCTATTTTCAAAAATCGTGGCGTGTTCCTTTAATCAGCCATACATCCTAAATGCCAAAGCCTTGTTGGATGACAGAGTGTTTTCTAGATAAGTGCAAGTCCAAAATAACAGTTTCTCAGATGCTAATCCTAAATCCGAAGTAACCCCATGCTTGCATTTCTACTGCTCCTCCCATATATAGATCAGCAATTGCTGGCAGTTCACTAGAAGACGTCTGAAGCCCAAGTAGATAAGCAGGTTCTTCTGAGCTTATTTGCATGTTTAAGTGGGCTATCGATCATCTGATGTGATAGACACCTCAGCTGCTGGCTCACGTTTGAACATGTTTAAAGTTAAAGACATATTACAACAGAACCGGAAACAATCACATCTAAGCAGACACGAGGTACAGATCGCTAAAAACATTTCTAGAAAATATATATGACAGCTATAAGACAGATTTAGGTTAGTTGAATGTTTTGGTTTGATTTATGATTGTCTACCAGAGGGAAATCTCACTCACTCATAGGAGCTCCAAACAGAACCGTATCCAGAGCCTTGAGCTGTAGTTTCTGAAAGTGACTCCGGTCCAGAATCTTCAGGACGGTCTGTGTCAGAGTGACGTTCTTCACCGCCAATCTAGAAACGAGAAAAATAAATTAATACAAAAGAGGTCAGACTTACTGAGTCAAACAGAAAAATTAGTTTCAGAGCTAAAGAAAAACATTTGACCATAATAAATAGGTTTTAAATCCATGAATGATGCTCACAGCGGTCAAGTTTTGAGTGTCAAGTAATTCTTGTCTCACTAAAAGTGGAATAAATGCTTGGTTAGGATAAGTGTCAAGTGTTTCCCCATCACACTCGGACCAAACTAATTGAACCAGCATGTCAGAAGTTAAGAGCACACAGTCTCAAATGTATTTAACACATCCTGCGGTTTAATTTCTAGTACCACCAAATGGCACAGATGACCATTTTTGGGGAAAAGAAACAGATTTACAAAATTCCAGTTGTCTGTGCATATTAAACTGGGATAGAGTACATTTTATAAATGTACATATACTTACACACTACCATTCAAAAGTTAAGGGTCAGTAAGTTTTTTTGTTTTTTTAAGATATTAATACATTTATTAAGCAAGGATACATTAAACTGTACAAAAGTGACAGCAAAGACATCAATGAACACATATTTCTATTTCAAATGCTTTTCTGAATTTTCTATTTAAAACTCGACTCTTCTGTAGTTACATCGTGTACTAAGACCGACGGAAAATGAAAAGTTGCGATTTTCTAGGCTGATATGGCTAGGAACTATACTCTCATTCCGGCGTAATAATCAAGGAACTTTGCTGCCATATCATGCGTGCAGCAGGCGCAATGATATTACGCAGCGCCTGAAAATAGGCTTATTGGAAGTTACCTAGCTGGGACTATTTTCAGCTAAAAGTGCTACCCGGAGATCGGCTGAATGGATTTGAAAACGGTAAAACTCAACTGTTTAACTCTAGGGGAGTTGGAAAATGAGCCTATTTTCAAAAATCGTGGCGTGTTCCTTTAATCAGCCATACATCCTAAATGCCAAAGCCTTGTTGGATGACAGAGTGTTTTCTAGATAAGTGCAAGTCCAAAATAACAGTTTCTCAGATGCTAATCCTAAATCCGAAGTAACCCCATGCTTGCATTTCTACTGCTCCTCCCATATATAGATCAGCAATTGCTGGCAGTTCACTAGAAGACGTCTGAAGCCCAAGTAGATAAGCAGGTTCTTCTGAGCTTATTTGCATGTTTAAGTGGGCTATCGATCATCTGATGTGATAGACACCTCAGCTGCTGGCTCACGTTTGAACATGTTTAAAGTTAAAGACATATTACAACAGAACCGGAAACAATCACATCTAAGCAGACACGAGGTACAGATCGCTAAAAACATTTCTAGAAAATATATATGACAGCTATAAGACAGATTTAGGTTAGTTGAATGTTTTGGTTTGATTTATGATTGTCTACCAGAGGGAAATCTCACTCACTCATAGGAGCTCCAAACAGAACCGTATCCAGAGCCTTGAGCTGTAGTTTCTGAAAGTGACTCCGGTCCAGAATCTTCAGGACGGTCTGTGTCAGAGTGACGTTCTTCACCGCCAATCTAGAAACGAGAAAAATAAATTAATACAAAAGAGGTCAGACTTACTGAGTCAAACAGAAAAATTAGTTTCAGAGCTAAAGAAAAACATTTGACCATAATAAATAGGTTTTAAATCCATGAATGATGCTCACAGCGGTCAAGTTTTGAGTGTCAAGTAATTCTTGTCTCACTAAAAGTGGAATAAATGCTTGGTTAGGATAAGTGTCAAGTGTTTCCCCATCACACTCGGACCAAACTAATTGAACCAGCATGTCAGAAGTTAAGAGCACACAGTCTCAAATGTATTTAACACATCCTGCGGTTTAATTTCTTCACTACTAGTACCACCAAATGGCACAGATGACCATTTTTGGGGAAAAGAAACAGATTTACAAAATTCCAGTTGTCTGTGCATATTAAACTGGGATAGAGTACATTTTATAAATGTACATATACTTACACACTACCATTCAAAAGTTAAGGGTCAGTAAGTTTTTTTGTTTTTTTAAGATATTAATACATTTATTAAGCAAGGATACATTAAACTGTACAAAAGTGACAGCAAAGACATCAATGAACACATATTTCTATTTCAAATGCTTTTCTGAATTTTCTATTCATCAAAGAATTCTGAAAAAAACAAACTAAAAAAATGTCCACAGAAATATAAAGCAGCACAACTGTTTTCAAAATTGATAAGAAATATTTATTGAGCAAATCAGCATATTAGAATGATTTCTGAAGGATCATGTGACTGAAGACTAATGACTTCTGAAAATTCAGATTTACCATCACAGAAATAAACAAAATATTTTAAATATTAAAATAAAAAACATTAGTAATATTTCACATTATTACTGCTTTTATTGTATTTTCATTGTGCATAAAAGACTTTTGAACACTAGTCTGTATGTACGTGTGTAGGCACATGTATACATATAATGCAATTTTATAATAATAAAATAAATAATTTATATTACATAATATTATAATAATTACACACAACAGCTTTAAAGAACCACTCTTCTTGTTAATTATTGCTGTTAAAACTCACCGGGGCATGGATGTACCGTTGAAATTCAACTTCCGGAAGGCTTCCGCATATTGTGGCAGCTCGAGGTAGTCGATAAGCCAATCCACAACCTCATCCACTGTCCAGTTGTACACTGGAGAACAGAAACACAAAGCTAGAATTAGGCCAAATTCATAAACATCACAACGCATCAGAATTAATTGATCAAAACAAGCTGATAAATGCCGTGTAATACAACGTGTGACCAGAAGTGGGTGGTTTTGACTTAAAACGAGTATCCTAATGGAGTTTTAAGTTTAGTAAGAATCGTGACGGTTTTTAAAAAACAAATCGTTACATCATCAGAGGTCTGTAGGGAATAGAGTGTGTGACTAAGAGTGTCATTATCTGATTTTGAAGAAGCTTCTTTTCCATGCTAAATGAATCTGTCTTAATTGATAAATGATCCTAATCATACGGTGTGATTTATTTCTGGCCTTTAAAATCATTGTTTGTATGAGTCCGACTGTACAATATGAGCCTGGTGAGATCTTGGGTAGAAGCCAAATCTTTCATGTAAGACTGAACTCTCTTTATTTTTTTACATACACCACTTCCTACATCACTTTTTTGGACATGGCTAGCACTGACTGGGTTATCTGCAGTGTCACATTCTGACGATGAAATAAAAAGAATTTTGCAAAAACAAAGAAATTTGCCAGTGGCTAAGATTCATCGCAATTAATCAGCCGTCAATGGCAATGACACACTAAGCGATCAAAACTGCCCATGATATTTCAATGAAAATGGGGAAAGACACCAAAAATCAAGCATACACAGCAAAGGGACAGCTGGCATAACCATCCAGTACCATCACATTTTAATGGAGTATAAATATTACACTGGCATAAATAATCACTGTCAGACCACATTTGAAAAAAAAGCAGACACTGTCAGCTCTCAATGAAAACACTGTAAGAGCATATATCTCTCTCGCCTGACCCTAGCACAAAACTGTGCTCAGTGTGTGTGTGTGCTCATTATTATTATTATTATTATTACTACTACTACAAAAAATACAAATATGTTGCAATATTTCAATGTAAAAATAAATGTATAATTAAGTACAATAATAATAATAAATATTGTATTGAAATTTGACAGTTGTACTGTGAAATAAAATAAATAATGAATATTGATTCACCATCATATTAACATGGCCAAGTAACTTAAAGAAAATCATGTTATCACAATGCATGTCCAGAAATACCATGGTAAAATCATGTGGTATCACAGAATGAATCTGGGATATATTTTAATTAACCTATTTTTTCCACAGCATTTTATCCAGCTGTACAGTTTAAGGCATATTGTGCAGTCAATTGAAAAAAAAAAAAACTTAACGTAAAAAAAATCTGACTTTGATGTATTCAAGTCAGCAAAAACCTTCAAAGAATGTGAATCTGCATTAGCAAAGGTCAACCGATGAGCTGTTTTTCAATAAAAGGTACAACATATTCCACTGCATGTGAAAAAAGCATGACAAGCAGCTTTCTGCGTTAATGGGTCATTATGAAAGAGTTGCGCTCACCTTTCGAACTCTTCCAGGCATTCCACAGGTCCTCCACGCTTATGAGCTGGTCGTCACCGTGGAAACTGTTGTGCTTGGCTTTGGGGTCATGGTAGTTGAGGTCCTCTCTTAAAAACTGTTGGATAACAGGGAACAAAATGAAATGTATTCCAATTAGCAACTCAAGGATACCAGTGCATTCAGAAGAAAGGGAAAACATTGAATATGATTGCTTTATTCTCCACTAGCAGAGTTTTTTTTTTTTTTTTTAAATGTTTCCTTTATAAGACCTTTAGATGGTGTAAAAAAAAAAAAAAAAAAGAGAAAAACAGATTGCAGTACAATGAAACAATGCAGGTTCACTGGAAAACATTTAAAACTTATAAGACCGATTTTTTTTTTTGTTGAACAAACAAACAAACCTCAATTTCATTCAGAGGCCCAAATTGAGCAAATATATGTAATTTGGTGCAAGATGTTATTTATATGACCAAAGATTAAGATTACATTCTGATGTCTGTAATGTAAATCAATTCGATTTTTAAAACAGTATGTCATAGTAAGATGACATTTAAATAGTTTTATTTAAATTAGTTTTATTATCAAAGCTCTGTAGTTTTTATTGTAGGGGGCAAAACATAATGCAATGCAAAAATGATGCTTGACAGATGAACAAATAAACATTCAACAAAAGCCTGATGTATCATATTTGATATTTAAATTTGAATGATTTTTCAGTTGAATGAAATTTGAATGAAAAAAAAAAAACAAGTAAGCCCAAGTTGCTTCAGTCCAGTAAATGTTTATCTTGAAATATTAATAATTTAAAACTTATTTGGTCACACTTTAGTTTAAGGTCCAATTCTCGCTATTAACAAACCATTTACTACAACTTTTGCCTCAATAAACTCCTAATTTGCTGCTTATTAATAGTTAGTAAGGTTGTTACTCGCTAATAGCGAGAATTGGTCCCTATACTAAAGTGTTACCAGTTATTCTTATGCTTAGCTACTTTATAAAAAGGCCTTTCACAAATTAAAGTCGAAAGGTTCATATGTGACTAGTGTTAACTGCTGAGAAAACAAGCAAAAATATGTCATTTCACAAGACTAGTCTGCATGTCATATCCTTGAGCGGTAGAATGCTGACAGATGCAGTGTCTCATAACCAGTTGGGCAAAACTCTTTAAGATGAAGGTCAAAAACACATGACAAATTACATAAACAAGTGCAGATTTTGACCAGTAACTCCTCTGTCTTTTATCCCTTGTAATCAGTGGATTTATTTAGTGACAGGTCAGGCTGATCCTAGATGAGCACTCTTTCTGAGAGACGCCTACACATGGGTCTGAATTAGCGGTTATGGCCTCTGCAGACCACCTGACTCAGAATAGCACAGTGAGGAGGCTTCTGGTTTCCTGCAGAAATGTTTCCTGCATCTTGCAGCCTAAAGAGCAAAATAACACCAACCATGACACGCATTGCTGCACTACGTCACACAGGCTGATACAATTCATCATGTACTAATGCTTTAACAAACCCAGATCACTGGAAAGAGCATTAGACAGGACAAGTCCCATTCATCCAATTCATTAAACACACAAAATTCTCAGTAAAGAATAACATAAACCATTATCCAATAATTACAGAAAAAAAGTAATAAATAAAAATAAAAAAGATAAAATAACAATCCCGATTAACCTGTAAAAATATTGTTATTAATATATAATATGCATATAATATTCATTTTACACACATGTATTTTTACTCTATGACTATATAACTGATTTTATATAATATATAAATATAATAATATATACAGATCTAGTAAAATATTTAGTGCAACTTATTTATATAAATATATAGTAGTATAAAGAATATAATTAATTTAAAATATTATAATAGCGTAAAATGCAATACGTAGTTAATTCATTAATAAAAAAAAAATGTAATACAGTCTTGTACCTTTTTTCATATGTTCATATACTTTTTTACATTTTATAGAGATACACATCTTTTTATGCTTTAAACCAAAGTTTGTAATTTTTTTAATAATCCCTGAGCTAGCTGTATTGGTTCATGAATTTTTGCAGAAAATAAATTTGAAAAATACTTCCAAACCCATGGCAGTCACTGTTGTATACCATAGGGTAAATGAACAGATAGCTTGTAAAATGAAAAACATAACATAAACCTAATATCACAAGCAGCAACAAGCATCAGGACACCTATTAGCCTGCTGCAGCTTACTCATTCACCATCATGCTGAGTTGAAAGTTAATGCGATGAGAAAACACTGTGTCTGTGGAGGTTTCCAGCTCTAACTATGAGGGGGGCTAAAAATAGACCCATCTGTGGTATTAACTAAAACTAGCAAACAACTATTTTTAGGCCGCAAATCTGCACAGCTGTTGTGTTACCACATTCAAGGTTCTGAGGGCCAGGAAAGCTCTGGTTTGTGCCGAGCGAACTTGCAGTAGTTTGGGTGAACGTTCACGAGTGGGAACTTTATCAGCTCAGAGCGTGTGGTACTAGAGAGACTGATGTAGGCTGTGATGCATCCGGTCGTGTTTGTGTATATCAGAGTGTTATAACACAAAGGAACCGGTCCAAGAGATCCATGAGCTGCAGAAATAAACCTTGGCGTCTGTCTTTTCATAACACAATACATTTAGAAACTTAAGAGGAGACGTCTCTTAAAGCTCTCCAAGAATAGAGACAGAAGTCTATCTAAGCCTATCAAAGTCACCCTGAAGGCTTGGTAGATGATTGGAAACCAGGTTGGGGGCTGGTAAATGGACATGAAAAGAAGTATACTTGGTTTCTGAAATGTATCACCAAGTAGAATGAACTACAACTTTTATATTAGATGTATCGTCTAGAATACCAGGCTGTACTCAAAACATATTGATCAAACCTGAAGAAATTGAGCAATATCTATTTGTTGCTCAACTACTTGTCTCGGGCGATGTAATCACAAGTGATTAGCAAAAATAGATCGCTGCTTTACACCCGTTAGTAACATGCTAGTCTCCTGCCTAGTAACATCTCCTGTGATGTCCTGTGATCGGATTTCAAGAGGAGGGTCTTTTCTGGGACACTGTTACTGCATGTTGATATAGCAAATAAGCCCACTTCCAACAACAACAAAAAAAGTGTTACATTGTTTTTCCCTAAATAATACTTTTAGAATTTGCACAAACTACCATTCAAAAGAATGTTTTTGAAAGTAGTCGCTCACCAATGCTGTATTTATTTGAGCAAAAATACAGTCGAATACAGCCGAACTTGGTACCTCTCTCTATTTGTAATATATTTTAAAATGTGATTAATTTTTCAGCATCATGACTCCAGTCTTCAGTGTCACATGATCCTTCAGAAATCATTTTAATATGCTGATTTGCTGCTCAAGAAACATTTCTTATTATTATCAATGTTGAACAGTTGTGCTGCTTAATGTTGCGTGATACTTTTTTTCAGTGATTAAAAAGTTCAAAAGAACAGCATTTATTTAAAACAGAAATATTTTATAACATTATAAACATAACTTTTGAGTATTTAATGCATCCTTGCAGAATAAAAGTATTAATTTCTTCCAAAAAAAAACCGTGAGAATGGTAGTGTATATACACAAAATATGTGAATAAATAAATATTAAATAATAATAATTCATATTATATTTATATATAATTTTAATCCAACATAACATATAAAAAACTACAAAACAACATACAAAAAATAAATACACTGCATTATTGTAACTTTTAGGTCATAGTACAGATATGCAATGCTACAAAAGCTTGACTGCATTTCGTCATGATATATCAGAAAGAAATTAATTGAACAACACACATTTCGCAAAATTGCCACATCATGACATGTTGCATAACCCGTCAGTTCTCTTTTTCAGGTCATGGTGTGCAACAGTTTGGAGAAAACTCAGCTAGACATGCTTATAGTTAACTACCAAAATAACCGCAAGAAAACTCTATCGACCCCCCAAGAATAGTGACAAGAAAAATTAAGAATAGGATGGCACACTTGCAAAGTATCTGCACACTTGCGTAGAGTATCTTTCTGGCTTTTGGTTACCAGCTGTTGTCCCATATAAAGTCAAGTCTTTTATATAACCTAAACAAGCCTAAGATCAAAAGCACTGGTCAAAGCCATGAACACTGCCTTTGTAAGAAACATGACTCTCTGTATCTAATCCGAGTTCAGTGAATACAGTTATGTAATGCAAAAGTCCCCTTACAACAATTATAATAGTCTAGCTAGTCAAGACAAAGTAAATCATCACATAAACTTGATATAACAGATTTCATCTCTAAAAAAAAGAAAGAAAGAGGACAACAAGCCACTAGTTATTTTCTGTCAATCTGCCATTATATAACAGACAGGACTCAGGAGATGAGGGGCCGGCTGCCGTTTTGGGGAGGCTGAAAACTAGCACACCAACTGTGGGATATTGTCTTCTCCAACAGGACTGGAAACAAATCCAGGCCGACCAGTGGCATGAGTTTTGTACTGTCTGAAGCCTGACCGTGAGCCTCAGGAGACGCTGAGCTCCATCGGTGCGGTTCTCAGACCTGACACACACAGCAAGTTCCAAAGATCAAGGCCTGTGAGGCGTGGTGGGTACTGATCCTCTCTGCTGAAGCTTGAAAGAGTTTTTGGTCACAGAGAGGCTGATGTGGTCAAGAAATATTTTATAAAATGGGATAAGAGCTGAAGTTTTAGGACACTACTGTTCAAAAGTTTGAGGTCGGTAAGACTTTTTGAAAAAAGTCTCATGCTCATCAAGACTGCCTTTTTTGATAAAGAATATGTTAAAAAACAGTAATGTTGTGAAACATTACTACAATTCAAAATAACTGTTTTCTATTTGAATATATTTTAAAATGTAATTTATTCCTGTGATGGCAAAACCGAATTTTCAGCAGCCATTACTCTAGTCTTCATCCTTCAGAAATCATTCCAATATGCTGATTTGGTCCTTAGTGTTATTTCAGTATCATAGAGTTCAATTATATTTTTAATCAGTATTTTGAAATAGTTTTTATTTTATATTTTCTGTTTTCATTTTAGTTTTTTAATGGTTTTCATTCATTTTTATTTTAGTTCTAGCTATTTTTACATCACGATAAACTAAATGAAAATGAGAAATGTTGTAAAGTTTATTTTATATCAAGTAACAAATATTTTTTATGGTTTTAGTTAT